CAACCTGGTAACAACTTTATAAAACACAGTGGTGAGTTTCATATCCACATGCTATATATTAATAGGTAGTAAAGAAAATTCACAAGCATGTTGCAGTATACCATTGTAGACTATTGTACATAATTAATAAGCATACATTAAACCAGCCCTGTCCAATTGAAATTGCTTCATTGATGGAAATTTTAAATCTGTGCTGTCCTATACGGTAGCCCCTAAACCATTCATCTGACTTAGGAACAAAATTATAAATTTGCTTTATTTTAATTGATTTAATTTTATTTTTTTCATAGACAGCCTATCCCTATCTTGCCTAGTCTGGCTTTGAACTCCTGGGTTCAAGGGATAGTCCTGCCTCAGCCTCCTGAGTAGCTGTAATTTAAATTTAAATAGCCACATGTGGCTAGTGTCTAGGGGGTCTACCATATTGGACAGGGCAGCTTTAGACAAAGTAGATTGTGTCAATAACTGTGTGGTGGCAGGTCCAATGTTACGGCAGAAACAAAACCTTTATTCCTATAACTTCCATCAAAAAGGCAGCCACACTTCCAGACTCAAAGGACATGATAAACTACTCTTCTTAGAAGCTTAGTATCATGATGAAAGGATGGGCTTGGCAACTAGGAGGCTTGGAAACATCCCTTCTTCATGCTACGTCTCAATCTGTAAAATATGAGGTTAAATAATATACTCTCTAAGATAACATTTATTCTCAACAATCCACACAGTTCATCTGTATTCTTTCTCCTCACACTCCTGATTCCAGACAGATGACACCACTGACTCTGTCTTTGGACCACAGGCTGAATTCATCTGGAAAATGGCCATTTCTAATAAAGGGCAGAAATGTTTCCTGAGCAAGCCAATATTTTGTCTTAGTCTGTCAGGTTTCTCTTCATTATAAGCGTATCAAATAGTTTCTATAATTTCTCTTCTTGCTCTGCTCTAGTTTCCGTAGATAAAGGAACTCTCAACCGACTGGGTCTCCTGAAGCATTGTGTTTTTCTAACTCTGGGCTGTCTTTTCCTCAACAAACATCTGACCTGTTGCTTGTTATTTCCCTGGCTTCAGCTGGAATTCCTAGGTCTCCCCCATTTCTTGCATAACTCCACCTCCTCTATTTCTCCTAGTTCCTATTACCAGAGCAGCATCTTGGGTTTGCTGTTGCCCAATATGGTAGGTACACATGGACCATGTGTGTAGTAAGGCTGCAAGAGCAGGGCATGTGTAGTCAAAAAAGCAGAGTTTAGGTTGATAGACTGTATCATACAATAAAAAGAATACAATGTCTAGAGCTGGATATACATATCTGAGTTTCAATGTCACCTCCACTAGCTGTTTAACTTTGAACTATTATTTGATTTCTAGTATATCCCCAAATGTAAATTGCAAGTATCAATTCTCTCAATATTATATCAGTAAATAAAATAGCTCTTTAAAAGCACAGAAGGTAGTAGGTAGTAACTAGCATGGATGTGATATAAACATAAATTTGAAGGGGAAGAGATGAGAGATAGGGAGATTAGTTAGTAAACAATAAAATAGTGGCAATAAACCAGAGATGAGGTAATGAAGACCTATTGGAACATAGTGGTCATAGAAAGAACAAGGCCAACAGATATTAAGAAGGAAGCAAATATCCTTAGAGATAGATTAGATAAAGGGGATGTAAGAAAGGAAGGAATCAAAGATAACTCCAAGGTAACTGAGTATATGAAGTTCAGAAAGTTAAGACAGATAAAAATCAGGAAATGGGTACTGAAGGACAGGTTGGAAAGTGAAAAAAAGATATATATATATTTAAACTCATGAGATTTTAGATCCATTTAAAGTGAAGGGTCATTAAAAAATTTGTAAAAATCTCAAAGCAAGTTGATGGCACAATCAAAGCTAAGGCTTAGATATCTTTATTCCCATGTAAAACAATCATTTTTTAAAATTTAATCTGAGATGGAAATGTAAGACATCCAAATAAATATTTCTTAAGGTCACTTAGCTTTATATAAAAGAAGGTTGGAAATATAGTTTTAGGAAACACTGGAACACAGGAAACAGTTGAAACTATGAGGATGGATGAGCTCACAAAATTATGAAGTGTAGCAGGAAAGATGGAAAAGTCGGTCAATAATTTAAAATGCTAAAGAGATGGCATAGAATCCCAGGACATTCAGGGTTTTAGTCCCACCAACATCTCTCCTGCCTTCAGGAATAATGATGAAGATGATGATGATAATAATAATGACACTAATTCAGCTCTTATAACGGTCTTCTAAAAGACTTCCCTATATGATCTAATTTACTCCTTATGATACTCTGTTCATAGATACTACTGTTAATTGATTCCATATTAATATACAAAGAATTTGAATGCACAGAAAGGTTTAACCAAGGTCACCAATAAGAGATAGTCAAGATTTAAGCACAGATAATTAATTTTTACAAAAACAGAAGTATAACTTTTGTCTAAACTAAAACATTTTTGAGAGTAAAAGGGCAACAGAAGTAAACTAGAAATGTCCTGAGCAAACCAGGTCATATAGTCACCCTGGCTTTCTACCACTAAGCAATCTGCCTTGAATGACTTAGAACCATAAATGTGAATTCTTAATCTCCTAATTCTTAATCATTTGCTTGAATTCAGTTCATTGAAACTTCTTCTAACATGTATCTTTTCTCTTGCCTTTATTTTTTTCTTTTCTACTGGCTTCTTTAATGGCAAAGTTTTCCCAGCATCCACATCTTCACTTGAACTCTGAATTGTATCTTTGGATTCTTCTGTTCACAGACCAATATCTTCTCTCTCAAATATTCCTTATTGTATATTCTCACATCCATCCCCATTGCCACTACCTTTGTTTCTGTCTGAGTCTCCAGTTTTCATTTAGTGGCCTCTTCTCTCTCTGTATTAATTCTCCTTTAGTCTTCACTTCATGCTATGCCTCTCATGCTATTAAAAATATACTATTTTTTAAATTACCTTTAAAAAACAAACAAAAAACAAATATCTAACTCCTTGATTAAAATATAATCCATCAATGGCTCTATATTGGTTTCAGGGTAATATTTACAACTTTGTAGCCTAATCTCCCATTCTCTCCTCATGCTCCAGGCTGAGCCATGCATTCGTCATCCACGCAGTCAGCAGCCTTCTTCTATCTATCTGTGCAGGCCCCTTGGGTAGAATAGCATCCAGTAGGTACTAGGGCCTCAAAAGTTGTTTGTTGAGGGAATGTTAAACCAATTCAAAGGCTTCCTATGCTTCATACAACATTAAGAATATCATCCTAGCCGAATAATAGTTAAATACATATTTTGTATGTTTACTATATTAACAATGCTGCAAACTCCTTTTGGAGCATGTCATAGCTAAGAGAAAAAATAGAAGAATCTTTTAGAAGAGTAGCAATGTGATATTTGCCATCTTAAGAATGAAAATATAGGCCGGGCGGGGTGGCTCACGCCTGTAATCCTAGCACTCTGGGAGGCCGAGGCGGGCGGATTGCTTGAGGTCAGGAGTTCGAAACCAGCCTGAGCAAGAGCGAGACCCCGTCTCTACTATAAATAGAAAGAAATTAATTGGCCAACTAATATATATATATGAAAAATGAGCCGGGCATGATGGCGAATGCCTGTAGTCCCAGCTACTTGGGAGGCTGAGGCAGGAGGATCACTTGAGCCCAGGAGTTTGAGGTTGCTGTGAGCTAGGCTGACGCCATGGCACTCATGCTAGCCTGGGCAACAAAGTGAGACTCCGTCAAAAAAAAAAAAAAAAAAAAAAAAAAAGAATGAAATATAAACCTTATACTTTATTTATAAGCCATAAGAATATCTTTTTTTTTCCTAAACAGATATCTAAGCTTTTCTACAGGGGAAATCTATTAAATTACTCTCAAACCAAATAACTGCAAAAAAAAGTCTCACTATGCACAAAAATATAGTTTTGCCTTGCATGTAGTAAGGTAATCACATAATTGGAGGGATTCTATATTTGTTTTTCCTACTAAGAGTACCTGTTAAGGATACTATTTTGGCCAATGGAGATCACATTATTGTGTAAACAAATAGATCTGGAAGTTTGGACTAATGAAATGTTTTAAAAGTGTTTTCCCTTTTGTTTATGTTGTTACTGCTTAAATGACACTGACAGATAAAGAGATAGCCCTAGAAATCTCTACCCCACCCTCCTTCACTAAAGCCCAATATTGATGGTGGGAATGAGAAACGTCTCACTGCTTAAATAACAGTGCTATGTTTTTCTGCCATGCAATGGAATAAAGTCATATGTTAACAAGAAAACCTAAGAAAATCAGGATAAAATATGATCTGTTGTAAAGTGGGGGAGGAGCTTGTAGTGTTCCTTGAATTAAATTAAATATATGTATTTAGAAGTTTCTTGGGTTTTTTGATTGTTTGCTTTTTAAACTCAAGATACTCTATGACCCCTAACTAAAACAGTAATCAGACAAAGTTATGTCAATCTTAATTTTCTTACAATTTTTGAGGATCATGTCTTAACTCAAACATAAATTACCTTTAAGCAACAGAAGTTAGCATTACAATGATCCCCTTTTCATTGGACTAATAGACAGTAAATGGCTTAGTCATAAAACACACACCACAGGAGTAAGACTGTCAGCTTGAATCCCAGCTCTGTGACTGACAAATTGTAAGACCGTGACCAAATTATTTAATTTCTCTCTATTTCAGTTTACTTATCTTTAAAAAACATAAAATAACACATCTCATATGTCATTGTGAATATTAAAATTATCAATTCAAACATAGAATATGTAAGGACATAGCACATACTCAATAAATATCAGATATTATTATACACACAAAGGTTTTAGAAATCCGTCTAACTTAGTGTGGAATTATTTCAAATGTAGTTTATAACGTTCAGCTAAATCAATTATCCCAAACACATCTGAATGAATAATAATGAGCTTTTTATCTGGCCCAAAACAAAGGCAAAACAATCAACACTTTAAAAAATTACTAACCATTGAGCCAGTAGTGCTCTGAAATGTCAGTTCTGATGTAATGGTGGTCATGAGTAGGCCCAAGGGACCGTGTGAAAGCAGTATCTTTGCCAAGGAAATCAGACGCCGTTCCAGAGTAGAGGTACTCATCTGAGAGGGAGAAAAAAAAAATACATTGGACTTCTAAGAGCATTACAATAGATACTATTTAAAATATACAAACTTCATAAAATGACACCAAAGATGGTTATTGCTTATGATCAGAATATGTTGTTTCATAAATAACACTTCCAGATTTTGAAAAACTAGCTTAGTTGAAGAACAAATAACTCAATTAATTTTGGTAAGCTGATGTTAGATTCTTGAATAAAAAGAGTCCAAATTTTTTTGAATTAATAATTGCACGTTTCAGCAACTTTTTAAAATATGTTCTTACTCTTTCCCTCCTTCCTACAAATAATGCAAAGAAATATCATAATTGGGAGTTCCTCTTTGTAGCAAGACAAAAAATATTAAAAGTTAAATGCCATAATGAAGGATGAATTGTGTAATTAGTATTTACTTAACCCGACACAACCTCAATGACCACAACTTTTCTTTGCCTAACCTCTGCAGAAAGGGAGCTTTCAGCACTGAAGTCATTCTTTGTAATTATAGCATGTTGCATTCCTTGTAGCTAATCATGTCTCTAACAATTCTGATAAACAGGAATTCTTGAAAAGGGAATGATGTTACCATTACTGCATACCAAACTTCTTTGTCTTGTTATTTGTGTAAAGTGTATGTCCATGTTTTATCAGAGAGAAAGGAAGGAAAGAGAGGGCAGGGGAGAGGGAGAGAAAAAGGAGGAAAAAAATAGGTCAGGAGAAAGAAGAGAAAGGAAAGAAAGGATGCCGAGAAGAGGGAGGAAGAAGGAGGATGGGGGAGAAGTTAAAGGTAAGAAGGAAGGAGAAAGGAGACAGGGAGAGTAGAAGGAGGAAGAGGAGGAAAGGAAGGGGATAGAAAAGGATGAGGGAGGAGAGGAGGGGAGCAGAGACCAGTGTTCCCTAATGCTGGTGAGAGCCTGGGTGGGGCTGGGACAGGAAGGCAGGAAGGAGGCTGTCCCTAAAGAAGAATATGTTGACCCTCTGAGAGCCAAACCTCTGGTATTTCAGTAGACCATTTTAGTCAACACTTTTGGATACACTTAATAAAACAATTTAAAACATGGCTAATCTCTACAGGGCATTTAGAATTTTTAAATGCCTAAATATGAGAACAATGATATTATTTTATCATTGAAATTGAATTTTACTTAGGAACATATCTTTAAAATTCTGCCTTGGATAAGAAGGGATCCATAAATACACCTTTCACTGGACTATTTGGGATAATTCAACCTTAATAATGACAATAGCTAACTTTTGAAGAAAAAATAAACACACACAAGAGAGAGAAATCCATCTATGTAAAGTAGATGTACATATGGTACTGCTTCCATCCTCATAAGGCATTTCCCTAAAACATAGCAGGTAAAGGACAATATTTCATTATGTAGCAAATTAAAACAAAAACAACAACAACAAAGGCACTACAAAAATGGTAAGAATAAAGGAAGCAAACCATCACTTTGAAACATACAAAAATGCAGGTATTTAAATGTTTTGTTAGAAAAAAGATGGGATATTTCAATCCAAATATTAGATCTGAATATCCAGGCTTTAAAATAATCTTCTTTGTATAGAAAAAATATTTAAGGATTTCTAAAAGGGGTCACCAATGCCTACAATCTATTGTTTTTTATTAACGCTGTGTCAACCTCACTTGGAAGATCAGAATCACAGATCATCTATCTCATTTTCTGAGAATAATAACTAACTATTAGTCATATAATTTTCAAAAAACACAAAAACACACAGATGCTTTCACTTCAAAGCAAAATCACTGGTTCTCACTAAGTGAAAATTAAAATGTCATGGTGCTTCCCTCTTATCCTCTATTCAAACACTTGATAGACAAGTTAAATAAAAAGAGACTAAAGTCATGAACCAAACCAAGACAAAAGAAGTCCTTATAATGCCTGAAATTCAGAGGTCTTGCCGACATTCCTCCAAACAGACTTCAGACCACATACTACTTACTGTCTTCTTTGAACAAGACTGTCATCTCATAAGAGAATTTAAGATGTACACAAAGCAAGAGAAGACTAACTGAGCTAGCAAAAATTTCACATTTCCATTAATACAATAAGGTTATAATGAAATTAGGAAAAAAATGTTATAAAATTCTATTATATGTATGCTATAGCTTGATAAATTTGGTTTATTAATTTACCCACTTATGGAATTGCTAAATTTAACTTCGATGCTAAGCCAAATAAGGACAAGGCTCAGGATAAAGAAATCCCCGACATCTATACATAAAATTATAGAACAAGTAATTGTGTGTCCTTTGCATTATAAAGAATTCAATCAAATTTCCATTTAAAAAGTGACTATGCAAATACCAAGGATTACTGTGGCCTCATGTCATTGATAAGTGATAATTGATTGTTCAGTATAGAAAGAGTTGACACTAAAATACTGGAACCAAACAGCTGGTAGAAGATTAATCCAAAATTATCTCCAGCTCAATAGGAAAATGTAGGTTAGTCAACACATACTTCTTCAGAAAATCATTTAAAGGCAAGAACTGCCTGTCATTGATCTTACCTGTCATTACTGAAGCAAAAGGCTGCTGAGGATCAAAAGGACATTTCAGTCTGCCAGACTCCAAATTGTGTGTGTCTAGTTTGAATATAACTTCCTGTTGTGAGAAATGTTAACATAAGTGAGATTTTTAAAAATAACATAATCAGCAAGAACATAGGTGATAAGAATGAAATTCGAACTCATTAATATGATGAAAATTAATTTAGCATAGAGCATGTGCATTGTGCTGTGCTTCCTAACTCTTTAGCAAACGTTATATCTGGCAAGACTGAATACCCATGTTTTGGTCTCCTTTTGCCCAAAGTGGTAATGATAACACTGAGTGAATTTTTCAATTGGAAGTGTTAGTAATATACATATGAATTCATTTAGTCGGGACCACTACCAATATCAAAAGCACCACCAAGAACACATTTTTCTTAAGTTAGTGAGCTTAATAAAATTAACTCAATCTCTTAAGAAATAAACTTGTTATGATAACTATACTTTCAGGATAATGATTATGGTCTATATAACTAAGCATCTTTAACAAAATTACTTGAGCCTTGTCATGTTTTTACATTTTAGTGACATAAAAGTGTTCTAACAAAGACAGTTCATTTTCAAGCTGTTGATACATCTGGACAAAAAAAAAAAAAAATCCTGTTGTAGTATTTTCAGTATTATGAAAACACTGTACACATTAAAGCCACATAGTTATTTTGGCTGAAATATCTATTTTTATAATAGTGGCCACAGACAGAATGACATTGGCAGACTTCTAATATTCAGGAAAAAAAACATCTTAAGTTGAACTTTCCAAGAAAAATATGAATGTATAATGAATATGGCCCCATGAGTTTGAGTGTTTCATAATAATGACAACACTACCATCCAGCAAAAAGGGTGATGACTCACCCTGTGCATGCACTAGCTAGAGAAATCTAGCATTTCAGACATTCTCTCTAGATGGAGTATTTACAAAGTTATATCAAAGCACGCATGTATTAGGACTATTCAGTACTATTTATGTAGAAAGTAAGCAATGAAGCAAGAGAGATAGAGGAAATTGGATTATTTGTTGGATTATGTTGTCATTTCAGACTTTTTTCTTTTGAAGATCACAAGTAGTAACTCTTGCCTCATTACAAAATAACAATAGCAATTTAAATAGCCTAGATTAACAATTGCTAATCCATAATTTTAAGTATTTGTACGCTAATACAAATAATAATGGTACCTGGCAGTTAATAGGTACTAACCAAAGGCCAGGAAATATATGCATACTGTCTCACAGAATTCTCACCACAAGCTTAATGTTATAGCTACTTTAATCATTCTAGCTTTGCAAATATAATACTGAGGATAGAAGAGTTTATGTATCTTTCTAAGTGTCACATTGCTAGAAAGAGGCCAAGCAGGAGCTTAAACTCAGGGCTGTCTTGAAAGTTTATCCTCTTAACTAATCTAGTCTCAGAATTTCAAACTCATGGATTTAAAAAAGTGTTTAAATAAATTTATAGACCCACCATGAGCATGTAACATGGTCAAGTCCAAGTGTGTTTAGTTTGAACAAGTCAGCTAATGAAAAATTGTGACAGTGGAGCTTAGGTATGAAAAAAGTTTAATGAGAACACATTTAGGGCCTGCTTCCTAATTGTGGATGTGGACATGTCAGGAAAAAACACCTGTAAATAGTGACTTGTAAGTACATTTAAATATCATTAAAGGTGCATTATTCTCCACAGGTTAAACAGATCTGTTGACTCTAAAACCTGTAATAGGATATTGTAAAGTGAAAATTAAACTAAATCCCAGTGCCCCAGAAAATTATAGTAAAAAGCTCAGAGAGATAGACAGGGAGAAAGAGAGAGAGGAAAAAAAAAAAAAAACCTGAGAAAATGTCAGAATGTCATTTTGGATCTCATAATGGATCTGAGATACTAGACAAATTCATACAGTTGTATTAACTTCTCTTTTTAAATAGAACATTTCTTTAAATTCTTAAGAGAAGCTCATAAAATTGGCTTTTGTGGAAGCTAAGGACAATGTCTCTCTTATACTCTACTGGAGAAAGGAGATAGCAAGAAAGCAAGTTTTCTTGAGCCAATCAAGGATACTTATAGGAAAATTATGTAAAAAATGTTGGATGATTCAATGCACTTCTTGAAATAAACTGAATTACACAGCACCGTAAGTTCTGAGATTTCAATTTCATAACATTTTTCTTACAAAATTCCTAAAACTGAATTAATAATGCAAAAAGCACCTGTTTGAGCTACACACACACACACACACACACACACACACAGAAATATTGTTAGAGAAGCCAAGAGCTAAGCAGATAGAAATGACAGTAAGAAAACATTTAGTCATCATTGTCAACATCATCTCCATGTAAAGATGTGATCTGCAGCAGGAGAAGGGAGTAAAGAACCTACTTCCAATCCAATTATTAAATAGATATCAGGCTCTCCCAGTACTGTAGGATGTGAATATTATTTTATATAAACTATATATGGTATACATACATACTTTTGAAACTCATGCCTCTGTACCTTTCCGTCTTTCTGTTGTCTAGTGATAGACGAATATTAAATGACTGGAATGAAGCAAGTGCTATGACAATAAGTATACAATCATTTTCTCATTTTTCCTAAAATAACTCTTTGAAATAGCTACTATTATTGTCATACTCATTTTACTAAAACAGAAGCTTAGAAAGTTTATAAAACATGCATAAGACCATGGAGTTGGTAAATGACTTCAGCCATATTTCAGACTCTGGGTGTCTGTTCCCAGACTACTATTACAAGTTGTTGACAGCAGCAGCGACTTCTCTGCTGAATTTCAGCTCCAATCTGCCAACTTTGAATGACTTACTGAACAGGTTTCAAAGGCAGAAGGTATGAAACTAACTCACCATGTTTCCCTCAAACCTATGAATACTCTCACTTCAATAAATAATACCATTCTCCAATTGCCTGCCAAAGTCAGAAGAAATTTGGGATTCTTCTTTTCATTGGCCCAGCCACATTACATAGCAGTCCCCAGTGTGCCTTTCTCCAACCCTTTTGTATATTGTTGTTCTCTCTTCCCAGCCACCTTAGGAGCAACCTTATTTGTTTGATAATAGAAGTGCCTTCTAAACTACCTCTAGAAGTACAATGATTTCTTGCAACTAAATGATTCATAAAAAGAGTTAACAATCTCAAACCAGGGCTGCCATACAATCACCTGTACTCACAATCAGCTGAAAACTCACAAGGCTCAATACTGCTGTTCCCTTATAATTTTCTTATTCATAGAACTTGTAAATTTGACTGCCCCAGTGCTTCTTGATAGTCCCCAAATAAGCAATTAGCTGCATCTAAATTCTCTTTCAGCACTTCTCACTTTTAAGTAGCTACAGAACACTATTTGCCTTCCTCAGCAGGTTGTGAGTTTGGCCTTTAGCCTCAGGCCTCAAAACTCATCCAAGCTGTGGGGCTATATCATATAATTACATCCTATGCTATGAGCTACTGTTATATATTACCCTTCATCAAAGTTAGATGAGAGAACATTATGCCAGCACCAAAAATGATGGATTCACATTGCCAAGTCTCCTAGTGATTCAAAGATTTAACTGTCAGTGTTGTTTTATATTCAAACAGTTGAGAATGAGTTGGTTAAACAAGTTGGTTAGAGAGGAAAATCTATCCAGCCCCAGATGTGGGTTTGATCTCTGTGTGAATCAGCTAAGCCAATTTAAAACACACAGCCCATTATCCTGCAAATATGTGTGGTTATTCACAGGAAGTACAGTCATGTGTCACTTAACAATGAGGTATGTTCTAAGAGATGTGTTGTTAGGCAATTTCAACATTGTATGAACACTGTAGAGTGTACTTACACAAACCTAGATGGTATAGCCTACTGTATACCTAGGCTATATGGTACTATTGCTCCTAGGCTACAAACTTGTACAACATATTACTATACTGAATACTGTAGGCAAATATAACACAATTGTATTTGTGTATCTAAACATATGTAAATGTAGAAAAGATAGAGTAAAAATATGTTTTTGTTTTGTTTTGTTTTTTGAGACAGTCTCCCTCTGTTACCCTAACTAGATTGTAGTGGCCTCATCAAAGCTCACTGCAACCTCAAACTCCTGGGCTCAAGTGATCCTCTTGCCTCAGCCTCCCAAGTAGCTGGGATTACTGGCATGTGTCACCACTCCTGGCTAATTTTTCTATTTTTTGTAGAGATGAGATCTCTCTCTTGCTCAGGCTGCTCTTAAACAACTGGCCTCAAGCAATCCTCCTGTCTTAGCCTCCCAGAGTATTAGGATTACAGGTTTGCTCCACAGTGCCTGGAAAAATGTGGTATTATAATCTTAGAGGGCCAATGTCATATGTGTGGTCTATTGTTGACTGAAAAGTTATAATGCAACACATGATATACATAAACATAAGGATGATACTGCATACAAAGCAACAATTTGGAACACATATTCTAAAAAAACTCAGTTGCGCATGCTTGCTCTAGAGATGGGCCACGTTGATTCAATTTGTTGTTAGACCATTTATTAGTTGGATGATTTTAGCATGTTATTTATTCCATTGAGAATCCATTTTTGCTAACCTGTAAATTGGGAATTACAACAGTACTAACTTCATTAAGAGTATTATAAAATTTTAAAGAAATAATCCATGGAAAGTACATGACAGTTCATAACAGTGTCCTCTAAAGTATGTTTCTGAAATCTGCATATTTTTCACTTATTAAAATGCTCACTGATATCTGGAATACATTACTTCTAATTAATACATACTTTATTTCCACTATGTCAATTTGCTCCAGCAGAAACAATGAGTTCAGTGTGCCAATAGTCATTAGCACACTGACTATTCATGAAAATTATTTTTATGTAGCGTCCACTATTATAAACAAACATAACAGATCAACTTTATTGGATGGGAAAAAGGAAATAATTTATACGGTTCATTTCCATTGGAAGATCCATGGGAAATGAATTTTTACCAACAGGAACATACAATTTCTCTCTATATATAGTTAGAAAGGGAACTTGAGAGAAGACAAAGACATACATGTACCCCATAGAAGACAAGCCCTTTTGACATTTTGAACTATTAATTTTGATTATCTCACTAAAAACAAATTTTTATAGAAAAAAATTTATTAGGTTGATAAAATCTATGGTGAAAATGACATTCCATAAAATGGTTAGGAATACAAGTTCTTATACAGTTCATAAACTATATGTTTCAATATTTATATTCAAATCTGTCTGCTTTATGTCATAGGCATTAAGTAACAAGATATTACAATAAATTACGTTTTTCATGCTATTTTATTATGTTACCTCCTTGTAGACTCCAAGATCAATATATCCACATATTGGATGAAATGCTCCAGTTCCACACACATAAATGTGAGTTTTGTTATAGGGTTGAAGTACTCTGATGAAATTTGCACATTCTGTCTATTGGACATAAAAATTAAGAGCGTATTAACACACAATTTAGGTTTCTGAAATACTATTTTTCATACTACCTATTTTCTAAGTAGATAGATAAATAATCAAAAATAAGGTGGCCAATAAAAAAGATTTATGGGCAATATCTAAAGTAAACATTTGACTTAGAGAAAAGGTAAGACAAATATAGAAATTGTGGTTTACCAGAGTGACTTTTAAGTTTTTTGAAGTTACAAAACTTTTGAACTAATCAGAATTATGTTAATTAGAAAGCAAATTTCTGTAGTGGTACTTAATGAGGCCTAGAAAATGGATATAAACAGAATATGAAATAGACATCCATACATTTAATTTTTTGTAGAGACTGGGTCTTTCTTTCAAGAGGTACATAGAAAACAAAATCCATCATGTTATGATATTGCCACATAATGTATCCCATATAGCTACCACTATTTTCCAACATCATCTGTCCCAGCTACACTGAACAAAACACTGAACACAGATGTATATCCTCATACATGTCCTCTACTCTTATGGACAAGAATGTCCTACCATTTATTTTCATTTATTTTCAAATGTTACACAGCCTTTAAGAATTAGATTACTTCCTGCTGATTCCAATAGACTCTTCTGTTTTTCCCATGGAAAATTTTGTACCATGTCAAATTTTTTTGGTGAGATTTTCATGTTTCTTCTTGTTTTGCATATGCTATACCTAGAACTATTTATTTACATCCTCATTATCTTTAGAACTTAATTATTTTCTATCTTTGGATGCAATTTTTGAACCACAGCTTCATGGCCCAAAGACATACTCCTGAGTAAACACTCAGCTATAGCACACTTTTATTCTAGGTTGAGTCTGCCCAGGAGATAGGCAAGTGTTTACTAAGTTGGTAACCTATGAAACTGGAAAACATCCCATTTCTCCCTGCCTGAGTAGCCATGGTTTCCACATCAGTAACATTGACCTAATGGTCACTGTTGTTTTTAGGATTCTTAGGAAGATTTTTTTAAAAAAAGACAATGATCTAACAGGTAGGGTGGTTCTTAGAATGAAATAAAATTTTTAAAAAGTCAAACAATGACTTAACTGATGAGATTGTTATTATTGTTACACAGATTAAATGAGATAAAATAACATTTAATAATTGTTTAGTCCATACTCAGATTTTGACCTACACCAAGATATTAATAAGAAGCTGCTCTGATTTTAGAGTGAACGGCTATGTCTGCAAATCTGCAGATTTTCTAGTTTCTAGTTCTTCCTTCACCCAGCTGGCTTGGAGTTTTATGTCTCAGAATTTTTAGATCCCAGTTAATAAAATCTGCATAATCTATCACAGAGCAATGTTACATTCAACTCATTGAGTCTTCTGCTCTCTGCTTACTTATAAAAAAAGTTGTAGCTGTTTATGATGGTATGAAATCTCAGTACTGGTCCCTCAGTAAACCTCACAGTTAAAAAACTTTCCTTATCAGGTAGGAAGACTCAGCACTGTAACTGCAGCCTGCCTATAGTTGCTCAGGTTATATACAACAAAAAGACATTGTATCTAAGAATGCACAAATCACACAACAGGCATATTTTTTATCTTGAATATTTTCATATGTTTACTATATGTTTTTATATGTTAATTATGTAGACTCTTAAGAAATAAAAATTTTATAACCACTAAGACAATTTTCTGGCAAATTGTCCTTTTTAACAAAATCATAGTAGATCATTCTATGAAGGAAAGTCTTCCACCTTTTCATCAAATTGTCTGATAACGAGAACTTATTTTCTATTTGCACTAAGGCACCATACAGAACTAGCTTCATGTTATTTAACATTATGTTAGGAAAACTCAAATGAAAACCTGACTCATAGGTAAATATACTAAATTAATGGTTTTGAACAAACAGTGGAGACATAGTAATATAAGAAAAGCTAAGACAAATAGTGTAAAAATATACATAATCACTATATAAATTTAAATGATGGCCTCATGGCTAGAGTAGGAGGTTTTAATATTATTCAGCCTATACTTTGCTCACTCATGCTCACTGAAAAGACATGTCTTGGTCTTTCCTCTACAAAGAGATTCATGACAAGACAGAAGCTACACAAGGAATAGTATACAGGGCAGGGAGGAGTAAAATTACATGGCTACAGTGACATAGGACTAGCTCACTGCCAGTTATTTCTTCATTTTTTCAAAAGCTCAGTTTTACTAAATAGCCATAGAATTTAGAAAGTAATTTTGCAAAATTCTGAAAGAAATACTTGCCAAAAGAAATAAAATAACTCCCTTTCCAGATTATAAATTATGAATGCAGATAGATTGAAAACTATGATTGACGCAGCGCTGTTTATAAAGGCAAATAAGTCCCAAGGTGAAGTTTTATACACACAGGAGATATAATTTTAGTGATTTTTTTAAAAAAGTTTCAAATCACACCTAAAATATTTCACATCCTTTAGCTTATCTATGAGTACTTTATTAAAATACAGCTATCCCTGGAAAGTAACCTATTACACAAGTTCCCTGATTTGATGACACATTACCTAGGATGAATTTGTAAAATTTCTCCCTTCTCTCTGATTGGACTAACATGGAATAGAACGAAATTTGAAAATGAATCTTAAATTACCTGACACAATATAAAACATGTCAGTTCAGCTCAAATGACCCACAATTTAACCTCTAAGAATTTATTCTCCAGATATTCTTGTGCATGTGTACAAAGATATGTATGCAAAGATATGAATTCAGCATTCTCTGTAATAGCAAAGTACTAGAAGCAACCTCATTGTCAATCAACAGAAGACTGGCTACAGGAAAAGAAGAGAAAAGAAAGTTGATAGAGGGTAGTTCTCTAAGCAGCCTAGAAGTGATGGTTGCCTGTGGGAAAGAAACCTGTGAACAGAAGTAAAAGATAAGGTCTTCTACTTTAAATTTTGCCTGAGGTGGACATTTAAAGCCAAAGAATTCTTCCTGCAAAAACTTTACAATGACTTCCCTTGTAATGCATAACTTCATTTTCTAAGCCTTAAAGATTCTGTGTCGTTTTCTTTTCATCCACAAAGCTTCAAGGTTTTGCTTAAATAGCAAGATCAATAATTAACTTGATTTAATTCACTTAGGGACTTGCATGGCTATTAAAGGTAGTGTAATTCTGTGAGGCATGAAGAAAGATAACTTTGAGAAGCAGCTTTTTAAACTTTCCCTGAAAGCTGGCTAATTTGTCAGCCATTGTCCACAATGGCAATTGTTGCATGTGACCAAACAATCAGGTAATATATTCAACTTTAGGAAAGTATTGAATTTCTCCTTCCTTTCCTTATTCCACCTACCTACTCCCCTTCCCACTTGCCCCACCTCTCACTCCCATTGAATGAGAGAGAGTGAGAGAGAGGAGAGAGAGAGAGAGAGAGAGAGAGAGAGGAGAGAAAGAGAGAGAGGGGAGAAGGGGAGGGGGCTAGAGAGAACCAAAAACAAACATCGACTTTTTAATTCTCTCAAGTAACATTAGATGTTTCAGTATTTTATCTATCATATATATCCATTCACAGATAAATAATTGAAAAAGACAAATATAAAGCTGAACTCATACTTGGAGAACGGACAAATATGTATTAGTCTATGCATTAATACTTAGAATTTTAGTTTTCTCCCAGATACCTGGAGAGATATCAGCAAAACATAAATACTTGTAATTTTCAAGACATAGAGTCCAATGAAATCTAGTTCAGCCTTATATGTAATTCTGATAACTGACTTGCAATTGCCAGTTTTAATTTATTTAAGTTAAATACAGAAGACACTTATGATTTAGGACTCTGGTCTGTTTTTATTTTTAGTGTATTTTGCAGAATACAGTGATCATCAAATATTTTTCAAGCATTTACCAGATGCCTGTCACTGTGATATATGTTAGGTTTGCCAAGAAGGTCCCAGACACAATCCAGTGCACAAAGATATCTGTTTAGGTCTTGGAATGTTTAAAATTTTTTTTTAAATTGTCAACATTTTAAAATAAATATATAAAAATCCAAATATCACATTTTTCTCTTAAAAATAGAAGATTTAACAGTGAAAATATTACAAAGCAATAATGAGTTATGGTAAAAGAGCAAAAGAGAATATTTAGAAAATACTGAGATATATTGTTATTTAAATATTTAAAAATCTGTACATCAAACAAGATAACTGATCAAGAATATTTTTATGAGTAAACACAAGTAATAATATACTTTTTATACTGTACATATATGTTATATATGTACCTATACGTGTGTGTACATATGTTTTATAAATCTGGAATTGGTAAGAAAAAAGCAAATACTAAAATAAAAAAATAAGCAGATTGTAGGGATATACCATTAAAAACTCCTATTTGCAACTCTATGAAATATTTAGTATTTGTAATAATGAAAAAATTTCAAGCAAAAACAGCAAAAATAATTTTCTTTTCATTAGCAAAGATTAAATATATTTCATTCATTACTATGCATTTGTAGTAAACATTAACTGCATGTTGTATCTGGGATTAGTAAGGGTATTATATAGAAATATACCCTCTCATTATCTTGCACTGCTATTTAGAGCATATGAGGCATAACCTTTTTGGAGGGCAATTTGGCAATATGTGTATAAAAATTTTTATGTCCTTAACCAGTAAAAGTCTACTTAATAAACAGAGATGTTCACAATGTTTATATATAAGTTTTTTCATGTGCAGCATCATTTTTGATATTAAAAACTGGATATGAACCAAACTTCTAACAATAGGGGATTGATGAAATAATGTGTAAGAGAATTCAGTGTAGCTATTAAAAGTAGTGTTATAAAAAGAAATTTAATGACATGGGAAAATGCTCATGGCAATCTGTGAAGTTAAAAAAAATGTTTTAAGGGACTATATATACAATGATTTCATTCTGAAAAATAGTAAATAGATAAGATAGAAGAATAAATGTCAAAATGTCACCAACTATCTCTGGGTAGTGTTCAGGAGGGAGGAGGTATTTACAAATGACTTGTTTTCCTTTTTTTCTTATATATAATTTACAAAATTTCTACAATGAACACTTTGTTTTAGACTTTCTTAAAAACTAAATATATATATGTATATATATATATATAATCATAGAACTCTATAGCTAGAACTCTATAGCTTAACTCTGCACTGTCTCTTTTGACAAAGCTGTGCACCTCTATGGTTAAGCTGACAAACAGCTCGGGCTGTCCTCACCCTGTGCTTTCTTTTGCCAGAACTAAGCTGTTTAACCTACACTTATATACTCAGGACTAAAGACATTTCTTTCATGACTTTCTTTTGAATATCTTTCTTCTAAAGAGAAGGAAAATATTACCAAATATCTTCCTGTAACTTCTTGCCTTCCTTGGATTAAAATGGGGACTGTGTTCAAAAAGTGGAATAATTTCTTTTTGTTTCCTCATCTTCCACTGCCTGTCCACCCCAATTAGCTAACTTTCATTAGGGTAAATAATTCACTATTTTTCAGTTATATAGTACCTTTGTGTAAAGAGACAGTCTTTCCAAACACTTGTTAATCCTAAACACACTCTTGGGAAGTAGGTAAAAATTACTAGAGAGAAGGGAGGTGGGAGGGTAATGCCAAAGGTAATAAAAGATGTCAATAAAACCAGAGTATGTTGGATAAAATTTATGCAATGCTGTTCAAAATGGGGATCTACATCATGGTGATGTTAAAGAGAGAAATGATTTGAGGGATATAGTTTTTAGACCTTATATGTAGATTGTATAGTGTTATGTATGAACACAGACAGTGGGGCAAGACTTCTGGATTCAATTCTTGGTTTCACTATTTACCAGATGTATGATATTGGGCAAGTCATTTAATTTTTCTAGCTTTAATTTTATCAACCAGAAAATAGGGAATAATAATAAAATCTAGCATATAGTGTTGTAAGAATTAAATGAAATTATAAATGTAATCATAATTCCTTGAACATTATCTTAAAAAGACAAATTAAAAATGAGGAGATGAAGACTTGTATTATCACTACATGATTCAGTATGTAACTTTATAGTCTTCAGTAAAAAGAGAAAAACTCAAATCCCTAATTCTGGGTTAGCAGCAGATGTGTTTAAGAGTTAGAGGTGGTTATTAGCTCACAAATATAACTGAATTGGAAGAATATGTTCTATATACAGAGTCCTACATGCTCAAAGATGCAATTTCCAGAATAGTTTATCACCCTTTGCTTTAATAAGAAGAGCAATTAAGTTACTATATAACTAGAATTAGTGAACATAGCGAAGTGAGAACACTGTCACAATTTAAACCTTCACTGATTGTTTGACCTTGAGTGTTTATCTCTCATCTACTCCATGAGAAAATTGAGAATAGTTATTGCCATTTGAAAACATCCTTTACCTTCTTGCCTCCTTATCATACACTTAATACTGGTGAAACACACATAAAAATGTCCACATTGGTGAAACACACATATACATCTATTCATATGGTTATGTCATGCTTCTACGGTTCATTCAACAAAATACTTTTGAAAACTCTCATAACTAAAACATTTTTTCCCCAATGAGTTCAATAAAGTATTGATGCTTTTATTGTACCTATTCAATGTTGGAATACTGAATAGAGGGAAGATATTAAAGTTATGTGAGGAAGAAGAATGTATTCTAGAAAAGTTTAATCTTTTTTATTTCTAGTGAAATAAATGTAAAAATGTATTTCCCACTGTATTTGATACTAACACTTCCTAATATATTTCTGCTAACATAAATGTGCCTGAAAAGATCATATTTAATACTAACTGAAGCTGGGCGCGGTGGCTCATGCCTGTAATCCTAGCACTCTGGGAGGATGAGGCGGGAGGATTGCTTGAAGTCAGGAGTTCGAAACCAGCCTGAGCAAGAGCGAGACCCATCTCTACTATAAATAGAAAGAAATTAATTGGCCAACTAATATATAGAGAAAAAATTAGCCAGGCATGGTGGCGCATGCCTGTAGTCCCAGTTACTAAGGAGGCTGAGGCAGAAGGATCGCTTGAGCCCAGAAGTTTGAGGTTACTGTTTGAGCTAGGCTGATGCCATGGCACTCACTCTAGCCTGGGCAACAAAGCGAGACTCTGTGTCAAAAAAAAACCAAAAAAACCCCCCCCAAAAAACAAACTAACTGAATACAAAATCAAGCATGACCACAAACTTTTATTTCATTTTGATTATTTGGTTTTGTAGTACTTTTACTTACTATCCCATCATTAGAGTAATATCTGTAGCCCTGATTAGATGGAAAACTCTATGAACACAGATGCCTTATCAGTTTCATATACACATTATGCACTTACTTAAGTTCTCTAAAAATATTTGTTGAATAAATTAATGAACCTGTTGTTTCAGATTCTTACTCTTCTGAGGATCACGTTTCATATTGTTTTACTTCTATCACATTGATAGAGAAGTTTTTAAATCTAATTATGCTTTCATATAATACACCTTTTAGTTATTATTAAACATAAAAGCATTTCTCAGCTTAATACTCATGTGTTACTGTGATTAGAGGTAACAATAGAAGATGTTGCAAAAGAAGCCTCAAGATACACACGTTTCTGCCCAAGGTGAGAATTTCTTTTCATCTTGAGTTATATGTAGGATGTGACTTATTTTGCAGAAAAATGACAATTCTCCACATTATCACAATGCAAGAACTCAAGGCAGAACACAGAGAATGTGGCCTAAATCACAGTACTCAGATGAGTAGAGAAGGTAGTCTGGGCCACAGCACTCTTCTGTCATTGTTAAAGACAAATCAGGTAACAATTTTGGGAAGCATTCAGGACAGCTTGGATAGTGCAAATGCAATACAGACAGAACCACATCAATAAAAAAAATGGCTTAGTCATAACTGTCTTTAAGGATTTTGACTGGTCCTTAAAGTAGTTTAAACTAGTTTATATTAGGACCCTTATTTATCTTGTTATTTCGTGTAACTATTATTGACTTTTATAGTAAATTATTTCTGATTGATATGCCACAATGTTGTGTCATTCATTCTCAACCAATTCTTTTTGGGTTATCTCTACAATGTCACCATATAAAAGAATTCTTTTTGGTGCTGTAAGTTTAATTTCAACTCAAATGAAATTAAATATCAATTATGTTTGTGATCGTGAAATAACTGATGGTTTTGTGTACATTTACAAACTACAGGTACATAAAGGAAAAATATACATTCCTAGAAATAGAATATTTTCAGATGGCTTATTTTTGAATATTCTAATGTGCCTCTAATCATTTTTTGAGAAGAGAATAATGATATTTAGAATTAATACATTAGAAAGTACAGTATTTCTAAATTTCTAAATTTTTGGGGAATAATATCACTGCTTTTGGCAAGATAGAAATATTTTATACTATATTAATCTTTACAGAGTGTGTGTTAATTTGCTCTTAAAAATAATACACTAATGTCATTAATTCAATAAAATTTAATACAAATTTTTACTATTATGTCAGTACCAGTTTCATAAAGATAATTCTTAAAGTTTCATACTTACATTGGCATCTTTCCCAGCTAATTTACATAATTCGACCCGTTCTTTTGCGGCAGGCCAAAAAATCTGTAAAACATTTCAAGGTATGTTATATTCTGGATATCTAAAACATTCTGACATCCTGCAATTCTGATTAGAGGAGTATATGTGTTAAATTGAAGAAGAGATATTAAGTATGTCATTAGAGCTATTGTGAGAATTTTTAGATTTAAATATTTTCCAAAGTCACCCTGAAAAGTTTCTAAAAGAAAATTATAGAGGACCATCCATTTTTATGTTAATATTCTAGTATTTCTTTTAATGTAATAATAGATAAATTATGTTCAGAGGACCGTAAATACTATCTTGATGTCAATAGAATCTCAGATTAGCATTTGCCTAAATATGAGGCTCTATTTGCCCTGATTTTCTGTGTTTAGTCAGAAGGGTGGTGCATCATAAACATGTGAGATGGGGTGTTGGAAACAGCACTCTGTCACATACATAAGTTATCACTCCAAGCCAAAGATCAGTGTGAATTTGTTGACAATATTTAATATGCATGAAGCTCAGATGTATCTGTCACTTAGCTAAATATTTTATAAGTCGTATCTTATTTAGATTTCACAATAACCCTATGAGATAGCTGTATTTACTCTCCTCATTTTCAAATCAGAAAACTTAGTTTTGAAGCATTTTAATACCATGTCAACGACCACAAAACTAGTTCATGGCAGAACCACGATTTTACCCCAAGTCTATCTGTCTCCTGAACTGGGGGTCTCAAGCACTACATAATAAATGTTATTTGGACGAATGGTTAAAGTCAAACACACCGAACTCCTTGACTGGTAAATTCTAGTTATGATTAACAATTTTGAACTAATCGGAAAGTTGATTTTTTTTTAACAAAGTTCAGGAATTCCATCAGGAAGTTTTTACAAAACAAGGCTTAAGCAGTTATGTTACTCCATTAACTTACAGAAAGAAATACTCTGTTAAGCTACAGGCAAGAAGAAACAAGAAAAGCAAGCTCTGAGTTGCTTATAATGTGTGCTCCAAGAGTTTCTGACAGACTTTCATTATGTTTCTCACCAATGTTAGCAGAAAACGTTTTAATGGGTGAGGAAAAAAGAAAATATCCTGAGGGAATACACTGAAAGAGACTTGTTAAACCTGGAATTAACAAAGGATTTAGAAATCACCGATGTTTATATGATATGATCTTTATAGTGAATTTTAGAGTTTTTTGTCTCTGCATAAAGAAGAACAGATATAAGCACTCAAAACTCTCATACTAGACATACAGAGTGGAATTATTGAAATTTTAAAATGAAGCAAGGTTGTTCATTTTGAAAACCCACAATTACAATTTTAATTGATATATAGACAGGGTGGTTAAGCCAGCAGTAGGCTCAAGTGTTGAGTGTTGTGGTTCACGATAAGGATCTAAAAATGCTATCTATTTAGAAATGGTTTAAATCACTATTTTCATGCTTGCACATAATTTTAAATAATAGCCAACAGTCATATATCAATGAACTACAATAACGAAAAGCAATATGGAGGGACTGTAACAATTCATTATTAGGGGAAAAAAAGAATACCTACCCAAATTAAAAACAGCATGATCCCCTTAGAATAAAGTTAAATAAGTAAAATTAAGTAGATATATTCCACATATATATATAAGTAGACGGATTTAGAATAATTGTAAGAGGTGAGGTAGGAGGTGAGGATGAGTTGGTGATAAGAAACATATTATTTAACAGATCCTAGATTTTTTTATGGATGTTGAATTTTTAGGCATTTAATACAAAATTTAAAACAAGTAAGTAATGCAAGCTAATAAATAGATATATCAAGATTGGCTATCCATGGACCAAATGACAATAGTCAGTCAGGAACCAGACTTATGAAGTCCTAAATAAATGAATAAGAAAAATAAAACACTGCAGCAGAACAGAAATTTGAAAGTTTCTTCATTTTGTTGTTTGTTTATTTTTAAACATTGGTAACAAAATTATTGTACTGTGACTTTTTTTTCTCCTTAAAATATAACATCTTGAATTTATGGAGTCTGATTCATATTTGAGCTTATGAACTTAAAGTATCCTCTCAGTTTTTTCTTACTGGTTCTATTTTTATTGTTATTGTTATTTTTAATTTTTGTAAAATACACATAACATAAAATTTATCATCGTAACCATTTTAACTGTACAATTCAATAACCTTATGTATATTTACATTTCTGTGTGACCAATCTCCAGAACTTTTTTTTTAATCAGGATAATATGGGGGTACAAATATTTTTTCATCTTGCAAAACTGAAATTCTATACTTGCTGATTCTGAACCATTATAGTGATTCTACAAAGGAAAAATTTATATCATTAGACTGAAAATTGTACAAAGAATACGTATCCAAGACTCATCAATTAGTTAAATCTCTAAGTCATTTTATTTTATCTCTAGTCTAGATTAGTATTTCTTTGAGTTATGTAAATATGTCAGATCCTGTTCTTTCTGTTTTAGATGATAGATTTAATCACATTTTAGAAACAAATTTAGGACACATATTTATAGATTTGTTCAGAGCTTCATATCTTATTGGTATTAATATTATAAAAAAGAAAATAATAGAGCTTTTTCATATTTAGTAAAAATGAGTCTTAAAGAGAGGAGAGATCATCACAAGCTTTTACTTTTTTTCTTTTTAGCCTCAACCCACGGTATTGGGAGATTGAGTTAAAGTAAATTATGGGATAAATGATGTCTCCAAATTGAGTTTGAACATATTTATTGATGCTTCTAAAAGGAAGGATATATTTAAGGAAGGACAAAATGTAAAATCAATCTTTATATCATTTTTTAAATCCAAATGAAAATTTCAAAGTCAGCACTGATAGTTACTATTCATTAATCATTTGTTCATTAGACACATAATTATGAAGGGCCATCTGTAAGCCAGGCAATGTGTGGAACTGAGGTGCTCAGATCTGAGTTGGGAAGACAGCTCGATAAACAGAGTAACTGCATATCCCTGGGAGACAACAGAGTGAGAAGAGAGGACACAGAATGCAGCCACTGTGTCCAGGTAGCATTAAGGAGCACTTAGCGCTAAACAAAGTCTTTACCAGTCTCTACTTTTGATCCATTGTTTTAAATAACCTGCTGTTAATAGTTTCAACTCTAACATAATAGTTTAGTAGTTTCTACTCTAATTCCGTCTTAAGGACTTGACACTAAAATAGCAATTGAACATTTTTCCCTCTTTGTAAAGGAATACAAATCTCTAAAAGATATTTTAATGGTTTTTTTGTACATTTAAGCTATTAATTATAAGTCATATAATTATAATTTTAGTTGTATCATACTACTTAGTTGATGAAGCAATGCAACTAATGATAAGCTTCAGAAAACTAGCTTTATTATGAGCAGGTAAATGACATAAAAAGATACACAAGCAATAAGAATTTGTTGGACTTCGGAAGCTGATTTTTATAAATCTTCTAATCTCTGTTTATGTAACAGATTTTTCCCTGAAATGTTCTCTCTCTTTTCTTCATTCACCTTCAATACCATAATGTCTAGAATCTGAAAATAATATAAATTATACTTGGATAATTTGTATCATAGCAAAGGGATTCTAAGGTAGTATCACAAAGAAAATTTTACTTCTTAAAGTAACATTCAAACCTTCAAAATAAAGATTTATTGAGATTATATATTGGCTTATTTTGACACAAACTTGTCATGATTCAGGAAGCACAAACAAAATTACCTTAAATAACAGCAATCTACGAGATATCTGATTGTCTTCCAGACTCTAAACATTTACTTAGAAGAGGAAAAGTATCATTGTAGTTGTGCCAATATTTAAAAGATGTTATTTTAATTATGATTTGTGGTGGGATTTTCTTTTACAAACCACCTAGTCTTTAGAATAAAGGACTTATTTTTTAAAAATATTCCTTTTGATTCTTAATTGGTAAAGAATTTAAAGAAACAGTTTTCCTTAGTTCAATCTACACACCAAAAGCAGCACAAAAAAGTTTTTAAAATACAATCTTATTTTTACTTAGAGTTGGCAAAAATATGTTCAAGTGACAATTTTGTTTTTCAATAAACTTTTGAAGTGACATATATAATGTACAATATATACACACATACACACAAACATATATATAAAATAGCATTCTGCTGCTTCTATATGTTTCTATTGTGTGTGGGAGTGGGTAGACGTGGAGGAGGAAAAAGTAAGGGACAATTAGAGACAGAGACACACATGGATACATAAAAAAGGGAAAGATAGCGATGTTAACTCAGATTGAGTATAGAATAATATATATTTTATATATAGTCTCTAGTTTCAGCATGGTTTGTACAAAAATCCAAGAGGCACCTGTGATCCTTCAATTATTTCAGTGGCCCAGTCAGGACACTTTGAGATTACATCACTATTAGACAGAAATCATACAATACACCTAAAAGTACAATGTCTCCGATATCTATAAAAAGTTAACCATCTTGATTACTAGGTAATGTGAACAGTTTTGTGGTAGCAATTATTACCATTCTTGATGCTTTCTGAACTTATCAGCAATAAATTGCCATATAAATTTTCATGCACTTTAGTGTCTTACATACACAGGATATTGACCATATATTAAAAGTTGCTCTCAGCAGGACATAACAAAGCAAATATCTCTGTTTCTAAAAGTTGATGCAGTCTTACTATTCCCTCAGGAAGTCATGCACAGATTCTTCCCCTCCGCTTATCAAAGAGAGTTGCACCAAAAGCAGAAATGCAACTTGCATAATTGCCCTATTTTATTGTTCTGAAATATCCCCAAGGAACCTACTTCGTAACTAACCTTGTATCATGTACAGATTTTAAGGCTATCAATTTGATAGAGAGTGGTCTTTGGGACCTTAGAGTTTTCATATCAAGGATTATAAATACTCAGAAAGCTCACTGCTGCTCTTTCCACCCACATGCAGCACAGACATCAGAAATCAAAAGGAAATCTTCTCTGTGGATCCAGATGAACCCAAGAATTCCTCTCAGCTTAATTATCCAAAGTG